TGACAAGATATGGGATCAGCATGCAGAAACAGATGAATTTCAACATGAATTCTAAAAATCAATACGACCGCCCTTCTGGCGGGGCGTGTCCGGTCAAACCGGGCGGATCGATACCAATGTTTTTCCACAGTCCCTATCCATATCATTTGGTATGAAGAGCTGAACGTTGCCCTGCCCCTAGTTTGTCCTTTTGTCCCCCTCGCCTCAGTAACTCTGTTTGATGCGTGTTTGCTTAAGTCCCTGCGTGTTATTACAAATAATAAGATTATACAACAATTACTGCCTTACGAAATTATAATTAATGCAGGAGAACCAGATGAAACCTTTCTATTATTTCACACATTCTTTGTGCTTATGGCCTCATGCGAACATGCGTTTTTTTATTTGAATGTTTTCAACCTCCCTCAGTCAACACAACACCAACTGAAGACACTCAACAACAACAACAACGCCTTCCTTCACATTCACACTTGCCAGGAACCCGTGCACGCTGGCCAGCTCCAAACACAGCCCTCCCCTGTTGGCCGGGGGAGCCGCTCCAAAGCTGCTTCGATCAAAGCCGGGTGAAGAGGCGCCGCCTGAAGAGGAGAAGGGTGCTGGTGTTACTCTGTTCCTTTTTCCTACACTTAACATTTCCCAGCTGGTCCTGTGAACCCCCGGCCTCCCTTCCAACTCGTGAAAGACCGATACTTAAGCGGCGCTTGAACTGCCAGCTGTGAATTTGCCGAATCGGATGCCGCTCGCATACCAAAGAAGAAGAACAACCACGACAAAAGTGTCCTTGAGAATTGTCGAGGAGGGCTAAGGATGCTCGCTGTGTTTTGCCTTAAGGGGATGAATATATACCCTCTAAATAGTTGGACTGAAGTGATGTTGAGTGTGCAGAGTGGGGATGTAAATTGGTGCGGGCCGTGCACAGAGACCGAGTTCCATCCGTCAATCCGGTTCACAGCGCTTATCTGATTTTGCTTTGCAGAATGAGGCGAGATGGCGAGGACACATTTGTCAAACCCCGCCTACTTTTCCCTCCCACGCACAATAAATAAGCATCATGTGACGTAGCACACAGAGCGTAACACGTTTTCTCCTCTGCAGCTGTTACTGAGGGCAGACCAATCAGCAGGTCGTCGCTGGACTGGTGTCGCTGTTTCAGGGCAGAGGTCTCTAAAGCTGCAAGACAGACCTCTGGCTCCGACATTTCTCTCTCTCTGTTTGTTTGGCATTTCTACCACCCACTGCCTCTCTTTTGTTTACTCTGTGTGCAGTGGAGTAATGCTTAACAAGGAAGGTTATTACCTGTAAGAAGGGGATGCAAGGGCAATAAAGTCATGCACAGCCGCTTGTCATGTGAAGGTTATGCAAGAGTTTGGTATTAAAAAAATCATACAAAGAATTCAACCATGTAAATAAAGTTATTTTTCAATTACATTTGTCAGAAAAGGCCTTTATTTGTATGGTAGTCCTGTCCTCAGTGTTTAAATGGGTGAATGATAACATGTAGTGTAAAAGCGTTTTAAGTGGTTGAAGGAAGCTTTTAGACCAGTGTTACCGTATCAATCCAGACCAGCTCATACAAACACGACTTTAATGCTCTCCAGAACTAGTCAATAGGCTACAAGATGGAGTCTATATCTGGAGAAGTCTGTTACTCGGCTAAAAGAAAAACCTGGGCAAATGCTGTTTTGATAAAGCAATAGTTATATTGAGAGAACACAGTGGTCCTCTTGGTCTGTATCACTGCCTGCCGCCATTTTCTCTTCCATCATTAATTCCATCCCTCCCCCCTTCTGCCATTAATCACTGTTCATTAATCACAGCTGCTTCAGCTCACTGAATGGTCACTTATCAGTTACTAACACAAATGCAGCTGTTTTTGACGGTAAGTCAGTTTAAGTGTTTGCAGCAGTTGCACCTATGCAACATTCTATCGATGATTTATGTTTGAATGCAAAGGTTTGTGTGTGTGTGTGTCCATCGTGGTGCAATAACGCTTGTGTTTGCCTGTGCAGGGTTAGGTGAATGCGCCCCCCCCCCCCCCCCTCCGCTGCTGCCTGGAAAGGATTTCAGTGTAATCGTCTTGCTGTAATTGCGTCATGGCACTAACTTGTCTTCATCATTACCGTTCTCAAACAGAGCCGAGGTCATGTGGCGAAAGGCGGCGATACGTGCACATGCATCTTCCCTGGTCTGCTCTGTGGAATCAACATGCTCGAAGACACTCCTCCTGCTGAGGCGAAGCGACAGTTACCGTGGTGCAAACCTGTAGATGTAAAGGCTTGTCACTATTTATTTTATATATTGCTGACGTAGTGTGGCTGTGAAATGAGAGTCAGGCCACTGCAGCACCGATTACATTACAGTATCGTAAAGAGGAGGCCGATATGATCAATTACATGTGGAGAGCCCAGCTCAAGGTCCGTCCTGGTTCTCCTGCATTTCATTGCATTGCTCTGGTGTGAAATGAAAAAACAATGCAATTGCAAACATTTTAGGATGTGTTGATGACCTCGCCGATTGCCCTTAGGTTTAAAGCTATGCGAATTAGCATTGAATAGTTTGTTTGATTTGAACATTTGACATTTGATGTTGTTTGAAAGTTGTCAATGCTAAATATTTGGAGAAAATAAACAAGTATTTAAACAGATTTTAGTCAAATTGGGTCAGGGCCAGTTTGCTTGGAGGCGCAAAGCCGTAGAGCCGCCTGTTTATAAGCTCATTGTTATTAGTTAATTTGAAACCTAATAAATAGGTCAAGTGTCTGTCAGCATGCTGGTGTACGCAGCTTTGACACAAATCCCAGCGGACCAATTTTTTCCTGTTCCCCATATTCACCGGTCACAGTTTTGCAACAACATTACATTGGGAGTTCATGACCCCTGTGGAAGTCAAAGGTCAAGCTGTTACTAAAATAAAAATTCTCATGTCATTGTATCATCAAATGAATGAGAGCCATATATTGATGGGCTCAGGCTGTCAGGGGACAACTGTGTGTGTGTGTGTGTGTGTGTGTGTGTGTTTGTGATGTTGTGTGTGTTCAAGGAGGAATCTAAATGTAAGCTACGTATTGTGTGGGTGTCTGCTCTTCACAATGGAATTTCATCCAAAAGTCTTGATGTTATTTAATTCATATTTCTTCATATTAGAAAAAATAGTACTTAGTAGCCTCGTAGCACATTGTTTTTGCACATTTAACTCCATGTTTCAGTTTTCATTCAATTTCACAGAGTGGCGTTTCTCTCCACTGGCTCACTGTACAATTATAATTGTAGGTATTAACATAATGGGCTGTATTTACATGGTATTAGTGTCTCGCAGGAAACCCTTTTAGAACAGACTTACCGGGGAGTCAATACAGGTCATGTAATCGAGCTCCTGACCTGCGTGTATCACAGATTGGATAGTCATCGTCTCAACAGTGGAGTTTATTTGCTGCTTTATTTACACAATGTTCTGTATGATTTTGGTTTCGTAAAGACATGAATAGAAAAACAGCAGCGGACTCCAGAGAACAGCAAAAACAGGACAGGATGGATTTTGTCTTCTGGTGTAGATCTGCATTATATGAGGCTTTTATGCTGGAAGTGTGAACAAAGCAAGTGACATATACGTCTTTGTCCTGCTTTACTAGTGAAGCTGTGTCTGCTGCTCTTTTGCATAAATCCATTAATTATTCTGTCTGAAGCTATTGATTGAAATAATAATTTAGAGACTGTCACATTTATTGCTCAGTCTGCAAAGCAGGAAATGTTTGCAGTGCACATAAAACTGGTCTAGAATCTTCTCTCAAAATGTCCATGAAGGTTGCTTAAACATGACAGAGCAGCATTTGTTTTGTTTGCCCGAAAAGCTGCTTGCAAACAGCAAACCCGAGTGTCTTAGTATATATCCAGAAGATTTACAATATGAATAAACTATGACCTCCAAATAGGCTCTTTGGATAAAAGCATCTGGGTGAATGCACAGGTACAGGTGTATGAAAAGAAGAGCAGAAGCTCTGGGGAGCACGAGAGTGCACAAAAATATGTTGGTAATTTAATAAAAGACCCAAAAGAGGAGAGAAAATCTCTCACAAGTTGAAGAAGGAGCAGATAAAAACAATAAAAAAGAAAAAATAATGAAATGGAAGGAGAAGTTTGTGGGTGCAGTGAGGGCATTTGGGAGGAGATTGCCCGTGCGTGGTGTCGGGTGTAGCGAGGTTAAAAGGACAGTGCGGCGGTGTTGTATAATGAAAGGGGAGGAGAGGAGACAGAAAAAGAGATGCTGAGAAAGATAAAATGTAGGCAGATCAATAGATGCAAAGCCTTTTCCTTGGAAAGTGAAGCCCTTGTCCTCACAGGATTTGAGGTATTTTGAGCTTATTTGTCATCCAAATAAATGTAATCATTGCAACTTAAAAAGAAATTAAGAGTTGAACAAACCACACACAAAAAAGAGATTCAAATATAGCTGCCTCATTCAGGTTAAATATTTCTCAAGTAAAAATGGGAACTTTGTTCTTTTTGTAATGTGAGAGGAAAAGTGGGGAGCATGAATAGATATACTACAAATAAAAGGATATTTTAAAGGATTCATGTACTTTTCAAGATGAGGATTTGGCCTGAAATTGAAACAATCTAATTAGGATTTTACTTCTGGGAACAACAAATATATGTTTTTTTATGTTCAGTTGATCAACAACACTTTTTAGACCGATAGTCTATGAATGAAACTACATTCTCTCACACTAATTATACAACAAGAATCCATCTACAGTTTCCCACCTATATTCATTCATTCACTTCACCTCCACGCGGCAGCTGCTGACTCACGGGGAAAAAAAGAAGATATCCCTGAGGTTTTTCCTGACTCTTGTTGCTACATATTTTATGGTAATAATGATGCAGTAATACCTTAAAGGCTAAAGTTAGGTAACAAAACATCTGTTTCACATACTATACATAATAGATATTTGAGCCCATTCGGACTCATTGAGGCAAACAATAAAAGGAACAACACACAAGTCTGTATAAGCCATACATGGCCGTCATTTATTTATTTCATATGCAGAGAAAAATATACAATTTAAAATTCAAGCTTCAGCAAAATATCTATGCTTTAATAACAAGCCCGCTAGCATGAAGGTTCAGTCTGCTGTCTGCAGAACAGGAACATTACGTTTATGAAGCTACAGCCAGAGTGATGTGATATAAACAGCTCTGTCACTTCACCCCAACCAACCACAAGCACTGCTCATATCCCCGTAATAGCAAAGTGAGACCGGATAGCATCAGTCAGTGTTCAAACCAATAGAACGGTATCACATTTTATTATTGTTCTGATGCACTGATTTAGTCCACATCCTCATATGAGCGAAGAAACGAAGAAACGACTTCAAGCTCTGGGATCAACGCCAAATTGTGTGAGCAGATTTGTGGTTGAAAAAGGGCCTCGACAGCAACAAGCGCAGAAATTGTTTCTCATTTTTGAGCCCTAACAGCTGTTTAATTTCACAACTCAGGCAGTGAGCAAAATGCAGTCCACAAGTAATACAGAGATACGTACTGGACAGTTTCCCGCACAGCAAAGAACACAAGGCGACACTGTTTTTCTGTTTTGATAGCAATAATAGTAATAACAACAACATCAACATAGAATCTTTTTTTCCTTCCTCAATTTGGATTTTAAAACATTTTCTTTTTATTTGACATTCATGTGGTCTGTAAAATGTAAACAAATGAAAGGAATCTCCCTGCGTTCAGCTGCACGGAGGTAACAATGCGTACCATTACGGTTAGCAAGAAATAGTTTGGATTTATACACCAAGAATAACAAGTGAAAGAGGTCAGACGTTAAAACCAATTTCATACTTTTACAGAAGTATAATATTAAAAGAGCATATTCAGACAGAGCTAACAGACAGTATACTTATTCTCACTCTGCGTTGTTAAATGAAAAGGATTTTATTCCCCCTCTTTGAATCCTTTGCATGTAGTTTTGTGCTACGAAAAAACATCAAACAGTTTTACAAACTATTGTAGTTCCTTCAGTTTGAACACAAACAGTTGAGCACAAAGAGCCTAACAGCTGCCTCGCCCGGTGAATCATGTCCAAGCGAGTGTCCTTGATGCGCTGCACAGTTTTACTACACAAAGTCTGCTAGGTTGTACAAAGGATCACCAGTATTCATAAAACTATCATAAGAACAGAACGGACGGGCTCGATCATCAAGGATACCGGGGGAGGGCTGGAAAAAATGAAAGAACTGGAAATGTATGTAACATTTTCATGGCAAAGGTGAGTCACAAAGCCAGACATTTCAGAAAACAAACATGCTTTCAGACGAAGAGTCAGTTCCTCATTTGTTGTACTAAAAAGCCCCTTTACGTAATAGAAACTTGTAGACCTTTAGTACGTGATAATGTGTCGTTGATCTGGACTTTATTTTCTATATCCGATCCCCTTAGAGTTTCTTACCGTGCTGAAGGCAAAGTTACTTCTATCATGTAAAAATTGTAAAACTGTCAAAGGTGTATTTGTGAACAGTTTTTACCTGTCGTTTCAAACACCTTGATGAATGATGCCTAATCCGTTGATTAACAAGAACCAAATGCAAGTGACTTGGTTTTGTGCTTTGCAACTTCTGTAACTCGTAATCAAAACTTGACTCACAGTTCACTGATAAAAGCACTATTTACTTCGGGATTTGACCAAAACACCAAATCTTTGTCAAATGCATTAGAAACCAAAAAATGCCAACATGAGTCTACAGAATACCGTTGATTTCCTTTTTTTCTTGTCACTGTGGTTGGTTAATGGCTTTCCAGCCAGAGACACCTGTTGTTTTCCTACTTCCATAAAGTACATTTTGTTCACACGCCTTTTTAGAGTTTAAAAAAATACTGCAACAAACGGAGCATTAAGAATAAATGGTTTAGGGGGAGAACAGAGAAAAATATACATTTTCTAAAATGCCCGAAAGTTCAATGACGCTGCATTTACCACTGATATTTTACTTTTTGGTATTAAATAAATAAAACCCTCGATGGATGATACAACTATTCTAATAAATACAAACTGAAAAATGAAATTGTTCTCTGGCCTGATGGCTTCTGTCTTCAGAGGCTTTATGAATATAGGTCTAAACTAGTATAAACTATCAGCAAAGCACCAGTGAGAACTAGAACACATTTTATCCAGCCGGAGAGCGAGCTTCAGTTAGCAGACTTCACTTGATATTTAAGGCAATGTAAGTTCATGGAATAGTTCTTCTAAAAAAAAGAAGACTGTTCGAGATTCATATATGCTGCAAAGAGTAACAGCAGAAAAGAATAAGGTTTGCACACGACTGAAACAATACAATTGACAGAAAATTCACAACCCTTTGTGACAGCAAATGGTGTCAACTTGTTGTATGAAAAATATGAAAATAAAAATTAATAAAAAAAACTGTGACATTTTAGACAACCAGAAATTACCAATTTATATGAAGACATACAAATTAAGTAACACCAATCCCAAAAACAGAATCCACCTCTTAATTCTTAATTCCTGGGAAGTTCAACCTCTATCTTGATAATTCAAATTGCAGTCAAACATGTCCTTAATCCAAAGTTTTATAGTGTGTAACTGCAAAAGTAAGAACGGCTAACTCTTCATGGGAAGCTTTATATTCAAGGACCGATAACAAAAATGGATTAATAAATAAAAAGCTGAGAAATCTATATGTAATATTTAAACTGTGAGATAATTATTGTTATTTCTAAAGACTATAAAGACATTTTGCAAATATTCTGTAAAAAGTGTAAGGTATGTAGGTAGTTTCTGGTCATCTCAACAGGGATCATATGAAAGCTGCTACAAATACAACAAAGCAACTGTTGCTTGTAGTTACCAACAGAAGGAAATCATAATATATTCATCATTCATTCATAATGGTTCATCTTTGTCCCAATTGTCTATTTCTGTCAGTTCAAGTATAACGTGTCCCAGAAGATTCTCCCTCTGATCTAATGCTGTCAACATTATTTCCAAAACTAAACAGGAAATTAAGAATACCTGATGTGGTTTCTGTTTTATAGTTTATTTCCACTTTAAGACACAATGAAGATAGAGAGAGCCCCTTTGTCCCTTGAAGAGAAGTCAAAGCACTGTGACCCTGATATTATGCTTTGCCACTTTGGTGCTGGGAGTCAAAATGGCAAACTTTAGAGCACTTCTTTCCTAACCCTCCCAGTTCATTTGTCCTTTAATTAAAATATCGCAACCCCAGAGTCCATCTCTTCAACACGACCCCAGCGGTGACTCTGACCCCCACTGGTTTTACCTCTGATTCCCCACAACAGCAGTATGATTTAAGTATGATTTTAAAGCTGTGGACAATCACTCTGTATGTTTAGTTTGCTATTAGAAAATAATTCTCAAAACTGCCATCGGTGTAATAGGACATTAAAATGCAAGCTGGAATCACGCTCATAGCATTGAAACGGAATGTTTCGGATTGCAACAGGACTTTTCTTCTTTCTACAGTGGGTCAGATTAAATGGCTCTAGTCATAATGATGCAGTGACTCGCCTTTTATAAAAATATCATTTACTATTGGCTTTTGAGCTATAATATTCCTAAAATCTACCTGAATCCATAATAAATCATGTCCAACATATCTGTAAGCAAAATGTGGTTTCTTTATGCTAATAAACTTCAACATCATCATCGAATGAGGCAATACTTATGTAAAGTTATTACAGTCTGGCAGGTCAGAGGTAGTGATAAATAGTATGACTAAGCTTTGAAAAGGAATTTGATGCGGAAAAGAGGTGGTACTTTATCTGCAAAATGTGGAATGTTTTAATAACCGCTTCCACGGTCATAATGCTTCAGAATCTGGTACCGTTACAGCTGGAACTTCAAGCTCAAGGAAAACTTGTGTTGAAATAACATTGAACGTGTTTTTTTTTTCAGTTAATAACCAGACAATACATAAATAATACAATTCTCTCAAAATATTTCATGATTTTTTAGGAAAACTGACTTTATAAGGAAGCCAAAGTATATTTCTTTAAAGTGGCAATTTTTTTTTTTTTTTAATTTATTAACATTTTTTGAATGAAGAGCTGTATGCGATGGGTTGAGAGTGAGGAAACCAACTACTTTCACATTTTCTCTTTGCAGAATCATGCCATGTTCAGCATAAGGGCTGCTCACAGGACAACGGTGTTTTCCATGGTCCTGCCCTCGTTCTTAAAACAACGATGGCTGGTTTTACCATCTCCAATCTCATGCAAAAGTTGTCAAAGGACATCAATGCTATGGCGTTTTGTGTGTGCCAAGAAAAGACAAATATTAAAGCAGAATCAGTAAGTAAAATCAAAACATGTCAGGTATAAATAATAGACAGCCCTACTCACCAATACTAGCAATTATTTATGTTTTTTTTAAACAACTTTCAAAGCGTGCTTGAAAAAATGAGGATTATCTTTAAAAATTTGATCACAACTAAGCAGATTCCATTCATTATTAGTAATCTCTTCATTTGTTTTTTGACAACTTTGTTTCAAATGTGGCTGAAATCAATATTTGAAAACACTTTTATGAATGTTTTTTTTTGTTTCCCAGGTCATGTAGATGAAACAAGAAAGACAATGTTTATAGCCAACATTTCTTCCTGGTGCAAAAAAGTCCCCGGTGCAAAATTGATGTGTCTACATGTATCCTGCGACAAGCTGGTTGACATGTGGACACAGCTCAGAGAGGCCTTGTCAAGAATGATTAATACCCCGGGTGGGTATTGATTCTGTGGTGAACTTTTAGCTGTTTTTCCACAGCCCCAAACTGTTATATTCCCCGCACACGCCAGGTGATCATGGAAAGATTTCAAAACACACAAAAAATCTCGCATAAAATGGTTCAACGGGGTTTCTCAGGCTTCACTTGTGTCGGAACACAATTGTGGCCCCTCGGAGAAATAACATTCACGTGTCCCTCTCAGGGTCCATAGACACAGTTTAAGACATATTGTTCAAGAGCAACTTGCTGCACATTGTTCTTTTTCTTATGCCAGCTATTGTTTTACATCCAACGTCTCGTCTAAAGGCTGAAATATAACATTACACTTTGATTGCCCAGTCCTTATGAGGGCACATGTTACAGCAGCATATCACCGTTATCAGAGAAACCAATACATACCCCGTCACGGGAATGATGATTAGATGTAACGAAAGGTTTTTTTTTCTCTATTTCACAGTTCCAGAAAGCTTAACTCTTCCTTGGCACCACTTCAGACTGTGGTCTTTACCACCAGACAGCCACAATCTGTGCTTCCATTGTTGTGTATTCACTCTCTACAGGCATCCAGTAGTGCCTTGTGTTTTTTTTATTCCGGTTTATGCACCCAGTACTACATCTACTATGTGGCCTCTACAAAGGTACCTTCACAAGAGTGCAGAGTCAAAATACAGCAACTGATTCCAGACTCAGATGGAATATATTGTTTCTAATAGTGGGACTTTTTGGAGATGAATTGTCAAATAATGTTTTTTTCCTCTGTGACGTTTACGTCCACCAAGATCGTTTGAACGACAATGTAGATGTCTTACATTCAAGAACGTTTGTCTGGTTCAGTTGAGGTGGGACCATAATCACTACTTGAACCCGCATCCAGAATAATCTTTCCCATCTCCTTCCTAGATGTCCACAGCCGTCCCATCAAATCTTTCATCGCATTCAACTCCCCTCCACCCATATACTGTAAGCACCCTATGCTTCTCATTCTCATACCATCCTAAATTCTCTTCCTCTCGACCCCATCCTCCTCATTGTCCTCCCCCCCACCCCACGCCAGTCTTCTCGTTGGGGGGCGGGGGGGCTCGTGCCGCTAGAGAGCTGTGATCTGAGTCAATTCTGTGTTGGAGTTCCCCGTCCCCTGGTTCTCTCCCCTCTCTTTGGGGTCCACCCCCACCAAGGGGAGCTCCACGCCTAGTCATGCTGGATTCGGCGTCCCTCCTCCCGACCCCCTGCCGTCGGCCTTGTAGCTGTAAGCGGCCGCCACCTCCCTGGCGATGCTCCTCATTCTGCCCGACTGTTGGGTGTCGAGGCGGAACGGCGACGGCTTGCAGAACTCCCGGAAGCAGCGCTTGAAGTTCTCGTCCAGGAAAGCATAGAGGACGGGATTCAAGCTGCTGTTGACGTAGCCAAGAGCGATGCAGAAGTGCATCAGGACCAGCGTGAACAGGCTGGTCAGGTTGAAGCCCAGAGACTGAGCCAGGACCATTATCTGGATGGGCGTCCAACACACGACGAACGCCGCCACCACCACCAGGACCATCCTGGTGATGCGACGCAGGTTGCGGTCTTTTTCCTTGGAGCCGGACAAGATGCGGACGTTGCGCAGGCGCTTGACCATTAGGCTGTAGCAGATGCTGATGATCGCGACCGGGATGAGGAAGGAGAAGAGGAAGATGCAGGTACCGAAGACAGGCTCCCAGTGAGTCCTGGGTTCAGGTAAAACCACGATGCACTCAATGCCTGGATGCACAAGGAGGAGGAAGAGAGGCAAACAGATGAAAGTTGTGGTGAGACATTGGAATAGCAGACTGAACGTGTACAGCCTTCTAGCAAACCGCTAGAATATAATTTTGGCCACTGTTCAGTAAGCTGTGATTGTTTGTTAAGCATAAAATATTATTTTCTGTCTGTTGTTGCAAAGAGATGAAATTCATATCTGTTTTGTGTGAATATGACTGGCGTTAATTTGGAAAAATAAACCTCAATTCAAACACAATGCCACTAAACCAGGACGAACCCTCCTTTCTTTACTACAGGGACAACGTGGATGTTGGCTGAATATGAATTTGGAATCAAAAATGCAAATTACGTATGTAGATTAGGCAGCAAGAGCTACTGTAAGAGAGCACAAGTACACATAGTTGCAGCGGCAGCCGCGCAAAACTCGGAACAACAACAAAACACAGCGTGGAGGAGACGACTGCGAGCAAGACATTTACAAACTAACTTATCGATCCAGCGTGTGGAAACATTTGGGCTTTTGTTCTAAATAAGTGTTCTAAATAAGTCGGTCACTGTTTGTAGAATATGTAGAAGCCAAATAAAAAACCACGGAAACACGACGAATCTTTCCGGCCATCTACTAAGGCGCCGTGCAATTAAACAACGCCAACAGTCAGGCGCCTCTAGCAGCGTTACCGCTGCAGCAGCAGCAGCAGGTAACTCCAGCTGAATGAATCGTTGCACCCCTATAAATTACAAATTCAGAGTACATAGATGGAGGGATTACCTCCGGTAGAAAGCAGTTAGACCTGCTAACAGTGCTAACAGCGTAAACATTGCTGACACAGCCATCTTCATTTGGTCTTTACTACATCTTACATATTTGTTTGATGCTACATTGATACTTTGAAGGCTCTGAATTTAGACTTCAACACATTTAATCAATTCAATAAATTGGTATATCTGTCTTCATTTTCCTCAACTAAAGTCCCATGTAACTGATCATACATATGATGTTGTGGTTCCGGATATAAAAGCAATGAAGCATAAAAAAAACATGAGTTAAATGCTCAAACTGTATCTTTAAGTGTGAGGCAACAGGACATACATGCATGCACTGCAGAATAAACTGCAGAAATATCCAAGGGAGCAAGATCAAACAAATAGGAATAGGAACTGTTGAATGAAAAGGTCGATCTATTATTCCAATTGGTGGATGCTTTTATCCACTGCGTCTCGGAGGGCCGTGAGTGTGCATGATTGATAGTGTGTGGGTGAATCTGTAGCCTCCACTATTACTGCTACATTGACCAAAAGAACGGTAAAAGTCTGTATGAAAGGACAGGAATAGTAGGAACTGTGAATAGCTATCTGGTCTTAAAACTAAAGAAAAGCAGCGCCAACAAATGTAAGAAAAATGATACCGATCTCTTCGGGGAAATAAGTCGCATTGCTCCCCATGGAGGGTCAGCGGGCATGTCAACGTATTATAAGTAGAATATAGGAAAATGAAAATTGCCTCTACATTTTTTAATCTATTCAACAGTATTGTTTTCTCATGTAAACGGGTCTTCTAATGTTAACATATCATCTTCTCCTGTCTTCATAGTTAGGAAACTGCATCCTCTTCGTCGTCCATTCTAAAGACATTTGCTGACATTTCTGTCAGCAAACCATGCGGACGTTTTGATTCATTCTCCATAATTGAATTCTCATTCTTCCCAGGGACCGACTGACAGCTGGTCAGCACAGTGAGCACACCACAACATGTATACCTGAATAAATACCGATTCAGCTTATAAACAGCTACATCCTGATCATAAATCACTTTACAGGGGATTTTGAAATCTCGCTGGAGGTTTTAGGCTCAGGATTAACTTCGACCGAACCAGGAATATTTGTACTTTCGCTTTCTACTTAATAAACTAAATCGAAAACTAATAAACATTTTCCTCTATGTTAATACTCGCTTAGAAAAAACACACCGAAACATGTTGTTCCAATAAAATATGTTAAGAGGATTACACCAAATACATGTAAGAGGATTTATATTGCCTCTGTTCGTTGTTTTTTTATTCAGGCTTTTATTTGTTCTATTTATTCTCTTTTTGTTATTATTCTCTTTTCCTCTTTATGGATTTATCTTCCTTACCGTTCTGTGACTGTGACGTATTTATTCTCCCCATGTAGAGAGATATTTCTCTCTTCACCGTCATTGCAGTGCCTTATTAAAAGCCAGGGGTTTATTATTGCAAGTGGTGGTCCCAATTGAAAGCAAGACATGATCTAGACAGTAAAAGCTGCACAGCGTAACCACTTATCAGCTTTTGAACCACTCAATTACATATATTAGTATTTCTTGGGTCCCGTTATCTTCTCTTCTTCCTTCTCTCCTCCCTCGTTCTTTTAAGAGAAAAGAACACATTATGTTGCCGTTATTTAAGCCTAGAGCAATGGTGAGTGAAGTTGTTTTTTCAGACCACATATAAAATAAAAAATAAAAAATACCGGTGCAGAATAACTAAAAAGGCCAAAAGAAGACCATTTGTCTTCGCGGCTTTCAGGCATGTACACATTGAGCCTAAAGCCAGTAGCTTGAATGTGAACCCGATCACATGTGAAGTGTATCCTCTGTGGCTTCCAGCTGTGTCAGCGTCTGATAAATGGCTCCGACAGATGCTGAGTCGGGCTTATATATAAGCAATGCGTGCGCTTGTTGACTTGCTCTTGCGTGCAAAGCTTGCAGCCCCACAACATCAGCTCTGCCTTCACTTCGCACTTCTCTCATTTGTTTGTGAGGAAAATAAGGGTTCTGATTGTCTTTCACTATGTTCTTCAACAGTGATCCAGAGGAAAACATTTGTTTTATATGCGTAGGTGTTTGTGTGTTTATCTGCGTGAGCAGTGGAGACTCAGGTACTCTTTTGTTGCGCTCATCTTCCACCTAACTGTATCAATTGGTTCTATTTAGACAATTTCTCTTGTCGCACCCTGAGCACAGAACAATGAGACACAGAACTTTACTCTTGTAACTCATTGATAAATCATACATTTTGATTGATAACATCTCTACCAGTTATTTGATGCAAGGAAACCCATTTTGGAGTCTTCCTTCTTTCTTCTTCCTCTTCCTTCCGGAGTATTCATTCTTGTCGGATCATTTTTACCATTTCAGTACTCTTCAATCGGGATGGATAGAGCCATGTGCTCGTCTTAACTCAAAACATAAACTAAGGGGCGTGGGATCCAGCAATCGACTTTGGCCGCACCGTTGATTGATTACATATCAAGGCTCACAGTGGACGTCTGTGTTCAATGACAATCTGCTATGTGTGCTTCACTCCGTTCAAAGGTGTTGATAAGGGAGATTTCGCAACACGTGTCTCGCTGCCTTCAGACAGCTGCGTGGATTTAATGAGCTGAGCAGGAGTTTAGGGTGCAGAGTAGCAGCGTTGCAAATCACCACTCTTCACACTTTTATTAATACGACTGTATTTTAGTGGATGTAAGATATGATACTAGCTCATGAATTCAATTTTCACTGTGAAGTGTGAAAGAAACAGCAGATGGCTATCAGCCGTAAGAAGCTGCATACTTGAATGCTTTGCTCTATGCAACATCTATATCTAGGTATATTGCTTTGGACCGAAAAGGACTTGACATGACAAACATGGTGCAGTTTCTCCAAATGGTGGCACTACAAGTTTTGATCCGTAACACCGTTGCTCGCTCTGTGCGTCCCAGATCGGACCAAATGCAAACACGGAAACATCAAACGTTTTTCGCAGAAATGTGCAATGCCAAAACATGTCCTGGTTGCTAAGCTGGACAAAAAGACCCTCCAACTTTAAAGTGTAAATACAACCACACTGTGCCGTTGAAGCAAAACCAAGCCTTGTGTACATAATGAAAGATTATACTTCACGTGTGTCTCAAAACTGTAGCAATAATTGACATTTCTGCGCTGCCAGGAAACACACTTTGACACATTCACTACAAGTCTTTTGGATGGATTAGTGTGAGCATCTATTAGTGACAACAGGGTGAGCGCTGATTATAGTCTCCTTCCTGCCACCATCTCCTCGGGCAAGGCTTTTGACCCCAATTACTCAGAGCGGCATGCTATGACTTTCCCTGCAGCTCTCAGGTTATCAAGCTACTGTCTTTGCCCGAAGATGACAGGAAGACATGAAGAGAGGAATAGAAGTGGAGCGGGGTAAATGTTAATGATCCCTGAATGAATCCACAAATCTTTTGTGCAGCAGGTTGTCACAAAAAATAACCAGATAATAAACAAACAGCTAAAAGGACGAGACCAAAAATGTGTTATATATACGTAGGAAGCAGAAGAGCGAAAATAAGTGATGATAGTGGAGAAAAGCATGGATGAAAATAATGGAGTATGACAAAGCAGAGGTGTGGCAAAAGATAAATGAGAGCATGAAGGAGAGTAAAGCAAAGGGGAGGAGATGAGATGTGAATGAAAAGAATGTGATTGAATTGATTCAAATGAAATGATATATAAGAATATGAAAAAATGAAAGTAGTGACAGAAGAGAAAACATGGAAGAGATATGAGTATGATATGATGATGAAGATGAAAGGAGAAATAACAACGACAGAAAAATGAATTTAAAATGGAATTCGGATGGCGTGAGACTGAAAGGAAAAATAAATTAGTAAAATGGAAGCAGAAATGAGATTATAATGACAGAAATAAAATATATAATATCAGAATTTTTATGACATCAAGATGTAAACAACAATGCGAAGAAGGTCGTATAAAGAAAAGAAAAAAATAGAGATATATAGATATAAATAGAGCTGTCGGGTCGACTAATAAAAATGATTATAGGATTACGCTGTAGCTGCAGGCTGAGACTGGATCAATAACTAGCCAGGCCTCCTGATCCTCTGCTAGCTGCAGCATATTACTCAATTCAAATGCAAAACGGGGCCGATTTGAGCCCGATTTAACCAAGCGTGGGCATGTGGAAAATCAATGGCGGTTAAAGTTAGTGAATTTCATGATAACATAAATATTAATCTCATTAATGCTGTTTTGTGCCAAATCTTCCAATCAGATTTCCAACTGGTGACTCTGACGGTGCAAACCTTTTAAAAAGCAGTTGCATGATCAAGCATTAGTGTTTTGCTGCAGGCGGGAAGCAACGTCCTGTTATGAAAAATGAAGCCAAAGCGGATGTTCCTTAAACTTGCATCTACGTAATGGCTAGCAGGAGACGGCTGCTTGCAAAAAGTTAGAAGTGTAATGAGAAAATGTCACAACTTCTCATTTAAAACTGTAAACATGATCTCCTATGATCCAACAGCAAGATGCTACTTTTGTAAGTCGGTACCATTGTAGGTTCAGCACGCCGCGCACAACAGGAGGCTACCACATTAAAATAACACAATCATACACCGCACGGAAATCCGTCTTGTCGGGTTTCAGGTAATGCGGTTGTGTCCAATCCAATCCGTGTCCGGCGAGGAGCTACTGGCAGCTACACGCGGGGCCCGAATGTCCCCCGAGGAAAGGCGAGCATAGATGCTGCTGCAGGAGCATCAGTTATATCACAGTGGAAAGTATTTCTTCATTGAAAGAAGAGCAACAAATCACACTGAAGGCTTTTTTTATTGCTCTTCCCTTTATTCACTTTTATATAATATAAGTTTGATTGACAGATGGTTTATCCAATCACCTGCCCCACCGCCTTATTGAAGCTCCATCCTTTTTTTTACGTATCTAAAGACAGCTTCCTAATACATTTTTATTATATTATGTTAACTAAAATTGAAGTTTAAACCATGAGATGTAGACATATTTCACCTTCAAATTAAAATGCATACATACTGTGAACTTGCAACCTCCAGATGATGATATTTGTAGAAGATAATGCTTTATGATTTATTGAGATTTACAAAAACAGTAATACAAATTTGAACAATACACCCAGCCTCTCCTTTCCATCTTTAACTAAACATGTCATAAACAGTTAAGTCCCTCTGTCATAACATAAATGACTTATCCAGATAAACAGTCAGTCTGTAAAAAGTGCAGTAGGCAGGATTTATTTTGTTCCAGAACACAATAGATGGAGTATTACAAGCCATAAATCTCAGCAGCTGCTCAAGAGACGTTGAGCTGCTAGCAAGCCGATCTATTAACTACTATGTTTAACATCAAGTGTTCATTTTCTGCCTTGGCTTTTTATAAAGCCTATATATTGCCCCTCTGAGGTCATGTGACATTCTTTGTGCACCTGTTACTAAATAAACTGAGGAGAATAATTTGAATTTTTTGTCCTTTTTAGGAGAAGATCTGCCATCTGTGAGCCGTGAGCGGCAGCAGCAAGTGTGTCGGATAGCAGCGGCTGCCAACGCGATCGGATCCGATCAGATGCTCCTCGTCACTCTCACACAACCCTATAAGGCAAATGCCCTGCTTTCAAACACGCACACGGCTTATCATGTGAATAGAAGAAAAACCCAGCTGGATCCACTCAGCAGTACTATTGAGCAGCCAGACGAAGGGAAATAAAATAAGTCTATTTCAAACTGAGAACGAAGCTATTGTTATTTATCAGGTTTACCAGGTATCAAAGAGACGATAATCAACCAAATCGTATTCAAGAGCCTCTTAAAGTGCCTCCAGAAACACACAACAGGTGAAATGATTAAGGCAACAAAAGTACTTGTTTCGTGTTGAGATGATGCATCGACCGCAGGTAACAACTACAAGACTGTGAGTGGTGCAAATAAATAACACTTTCCCTGTCAAACAAAAAAAGCCCAACAATGTTTGGTGACCATTCACATGTTTCCTTTTGGTTTCACACAGGACAGAACAGGAGAGGACAGTTGTCTCCTGTGAAACTCCTGTTTGTTTGATCCCTCCAACCAACCATTAGTGGACCTTCCTGCTCGTCATACTAGATGATATTTCCACAATAGTCACTCGCTCGGCACTCGTTACACTGAATAACTTCAGTTCAGTACTAATTCCAAAACATCCCAATTCAACATCTCCATACGGTTCAAAGAAACATGCAATGCCCATATTTTTTTCTGCGTAACTTAACTTTCCCACAGTAACAAATGTATAGAAACTTTTTTTTTGGCCTCTGTTTGGAAATTGCACATTTCCACAAATAAAATGTTCATCTGGAGATGTCTTCATCGTCATTTATTTCCAGATCTGAGCGAATCATGAGGCGATTTTCAGGTCCAGCCCTCGTTGGAATTGTCGAGGCAGGCGCACGCGTCCGCTGAGATTAATCTAATCTGAAGGTTTTAAGTAATTCGTAAGAATGAAGCAGTTCTTAAGTATTTCAAAGGCAGTTGTAGCACTTTTATGAAATATGTTGCCGTGTCCAGTATACAAATGTTCATTGGGGCTTTGTTCTGAGACGGCACGACGAATAGAAAGAGCCTGAATGCGAGTATTTGGTTTATGGGGCTTATAAGAAGTGATTTAAATGCTGTGGCAGCAGAATGATGTTCTGACGCGTTTACAAAACTATGTTGCAAATGAAACCTTAAGTAATAACTGTTGTAATTGGCCTGATTTTAAATCCAAGAATCAATTGCCTCATCAATTTAAGTGTTTATTATCTGCTGCCTGCTATATAATGTCTGTCGGCCACAGGATAAAATTACATACTGTACATTTTTTTGATGTGGTTCTATAATCATTGATAAAAGCTTAAAATGTGGTGAAGTAGCACTTTCTGTTTTGTTTTGTTTCTGTTCTGTTTTGCATTGTAATTGTAAAAAGCTAGCACTACCTCTTATTCTGAGAATATAAATAGTGTTCTTTTCATTACAGTGGTCTTAGAAGACAAACAGGATGTGCATTTAATAGTTTTCTGTGGATGTGGGGAGCATTCATGTCAATCAGTACTTTATGTATTTTTGCAAGAAGGTCCATGTGTGACAGTGTGTAAATTGCACGTTAAATCTGTTTCTTTTGTGTCTTTTTGTTGGGTTGAGTTTTAAGTCTGTTATCATTTCTTTAATGTTCTGCTGGTTTTTAAAGGGATTTTAAAACTAAATGTGGTTATTTCATTTGTCTCACTCTCATTTTCCTGCTCTGAAGCCACGTTGGAGGCAGTGATTTCACCCAAGGTGGCAGTTCTAATCTATAATCAGGAAAATAAATACAGCTTAATTTTGCCTGAACATCTACACAATAAACTGGGATATTTAGAAGCACGACGTCTATGCAGGAGCTGCAGTTTCACAAAATCCATCCCTCTACTCACGAGGGGTGGCAACAAAGACATGCTCACTGTAAACTATAAAACCCAGCGGCAGCTTAGAGAAAATGATCTCTAAGGTAAATAAATGCCAAGATAATAAGTGAGATTGCATGCTCTATGGGATATGTTTGCTAGAATAGAAACATTTGGAGCAGTGGCGTTTTTCTCACAAACCTGACAGCTGCCTCCCAAGTGGGACACATTACCACCCAAATAAGTGATGTCGTTGGACTGCTGAGCGTTTCAACAACGGAGGTCAATCGCTGGGAATCTCTGTGAGCGACTTACTGTTGTGCTCTTGTTCCTCCTCCACGTTTCCCAGGATCATGGCCGGTACGCCGAAGGCCGAGGCCAAAACCCACACACAGATGTTCACCACCTGGGGACAAAATAACACGATGGTGAGGATTCTTTTCACGCACAGACTCAGGTTAAATAACCGCTACGGTGAAGTGACTCAACCTGACGCCGGCGGTCGTGTCAGCAACGATAAAAAAGAATATTGCACTTTGAACGGTCCTACCTTGGCCTTGTGAGGAGTCCTCATGTCCAGCGCTTTGACAGGGTGGCAGACGGCCACGTACCTGTCCATGCTCATCACCGTCAGGGTGAAGGTGCTGGTGAACATGTTGTAGTAGTCGATGGACACCACCGCCTTGCACAGAGCGTTGCCGAATGGCCAGAAGCCCAGAAACACATCGGTGCCCTGGAAATATATACGGATATCAAGCAGAGAACAGCTCGAATGGCTAACCGTGACCGACGGTGTGTGAATGGTGTGAATTTTAGAGAGCGATGGGCAGGCGGCACTGTGTGTGGTAGCTCCTGCCATCAGCAAATTACATTTCCCAATGATTACTCGGACGAACAAGGGGAAATCAGGGATTTGCTGTCACAACCAGTAAAGAAAGGTTTTATTTAACAGTGTCACAAGCATGTTGATGCTCTGAAGTATAAACAGGCACTACACAGACCAGTGACAACGCACAAATCCTTAAATGGCAATTCTCATATAAATCATAGATTTGTTGTTTGTAGGAAATATTGATTGTAGTAAAGCTAACGTAATCTCACTTGAGGAAAAGTCTCATTCTGAAATCTTTTATAAGAAGAAGAACAAGACATGAACATTTAAACAATTGTATCAGGTGGAAAATGCCGGACGTTGCCTTTAAAGTTTTTTAAGATAATGTCAAAAGAGAGTAAAAAGTCAAAGGCTGTACTTTTAAATAAGTCATAAGTCATACCTGGAAAGGTAAAGTAGCCAGGAACAAAGAGTCAGCCAGAGCCAGGTTAAAAATGTAGATGTTAGTGGCCGTTTTCATCTTTGTGTATCTGAGGAGAGACGGAGCACAGCAACACAGACGTTAAGAGAATAAGGAAGCTTGAGCTTATTTCACTGTAGGTCACACACACACACACACACACACACACGCTAATGCAAACCTTAAAGAGCCTGCTGCTGAGTCCAGCCAGCTGGAGCTTTAGTATCATTAAACTGCACAAACTTTCTTTTTGAGGCCCTGCTGCTAAAACTTTTAGGTTTTGAGACTGAATGATCAGACTTGTTAAAAAAAAGATCAGCCTGAAGCGAAACTGTAGTCTGCATTCCTACATTCTTTGGTCTATTAACTCAGGTGTCTTATTTCTGATAGTGCCTCAGGTCTGATGGTCCAGTGTTAGAGGCTTTCCCTTATTTTACTCTTGTTTTGCTCCATAACATTTCAACAAACACATGCAAAGCAGATAAATACAATTGCTTATGTTCTGCATTTAGACAACGTCTTAATTTTATAACAGACATTCTTGTACAAATTTGACAGAAAATATACAGAATTCAGTGCCTGCAGACAACGTACATCCGTTAACATGAATATTAAATAATGGCACAAAAACATTGGAATTGATACATTCAAATGAATTCCACTGCAGAATTGAATAAATGATACTAATAAAGGAGTCATCCATTTTATGAGTCTGCCTGTTCTAACTCTGCAGATGCTGGATACAACTTTGAAAAAGGCTTTGCAGTGGATGCGAGTCCTCCACCTCCCTTCAGTTTGGCCTTGAGCTCTTTTGCACTTTCCCTTTTCTCCTCAACACATCATCATCATCTTCATCCTTTCATCTTTTCTCTCTGCCTCCTCTGCCTCTTCCCCCCCAAACGATCCAGCTTTAGATAACGTTCACTGTACACACCACCCCCCTCTTTAATTATGTCTTTCACTCATCTATTCCCTTCCATCTCCACATCTGTGTCTTTCAGACTTCTATCCTTTCATCCTTCTCATTACCTTCCTCTAAACTTTCAGTTTCTGAATCTTTCCTCCACTTTGTTTCTAATCCATCTCCATGTCCTCCTTAGTGTTTCTGATTCCTTCCATCCTTCCTGTGTTTGTCTGTGTTGCATCTGCATGTTACAGGATGAATCATTTAAGATATGTTTAATGGTGGTACGCTACTTTAAGGCCTAAATTAAATATCGTCGCCGTTGCACCTTCATGTTTTCGTAATATTTTAGAAGATCATTGCTTTTGCTCACTTTGCACCCAGCTTGGCTGTGGGTATTTTAACAATGAAAAGTGTTAAAAGAGCTTAATCTGAGCTTGAAAGCGTCGGTAAAACCTCATGTCTGCGCCTGTATTCGGGCTAGAATGCCGCTCACAGTAGAACTGACAGCAAACAGTGACACTGTGATTTTATCAGTAATTGTGTTCCTATGTCTATGGACACTTGAAAACTTGAATACATTACTCCGACTACATGTTTCTCATTTGTATCTCACCGTGGCGTTTACAAAGCTACTCGGCCCTCTCTGCCTTTTTGTTCTCCTCCTTTAAATTCCATCCTTCTTGCTGCAATACTGCCTCCGGATATTCAGCATTTGCTCATTGCCCCTTTAGCCCTTTCTTTTTCTTTTTTATTTGCTAACAGTAGACCTCTCGCTGTGATGGCTTAGTTTTCAATACGTGGTTTGATTGAATTTGCTCAGGCAGAAGACCAACTACCAAGATCTTGTTTACCCAAAGCAGCATCTCACACTTTAAAGGGGAGGGTGGGGGGGGTGGGGAGAGGGGATCCACGGCGGGCTAATCTTCCTCTTACTTGCTTCCTTCATCTCTTTTCATGCGTATCTCACCCAAATATTTGTTCTCCATTTCTCAGTCTGCTTCCATACATTTAAAGAGGGACAGAAGAGGAGGATGAAATGAGTTTATCGGATGACTCTTTCATCCGCCACGCTCTTCCATTTTAAATATTAATAATCGTTCTAAATTATTCACAAACGGCCGTCTGCACTGTGTTGACTTCAATGAGCCGTCGCACGCTGGTAGAGAGACGTGTCGGCCCCTTCACCTACTCTTAAATTACTATGGGACAGGCGCCTGTCTTCTGTGTCCTTATGACAAAACATGTGGCTGACATTGTCAAACTACCACAGTACAATTAAGTTAACATGACGTTTGAAATGAAATAAATGCTCTATGTGTTCTTCTTTCTTAATGTCAAAGTATTCTATGTGAGATATTGTGTATCTTATCACTTTTGGTCCACAGATGTACAGTGTGGGACATTTCCAATGGCTGAGATTAGCTGGTCTAAAATCTCTGGTCTCACATTTATCCTTTTCTTTGTGATCGAAGGCCATCGTTCGTCCATTGTGCTGTGTTTCTTTAAAAAAAAAGAGCACATTGCTGCACAATGTTTCCAAGGAAAAATACATGTTTTTTTATCTCAGAGCTATGAAAGTTTCTGACACCAATGAGCCTGTTGATCTTAAACAACTCACCCTAAATGAAAGTTTCTTACTCAACACAAAAACATGAAAGGAAAACAAAACATGAGCCTCTTACAGGCTTTTCACTACAGCTTGATTAGTCTTCACATCAGCAAGCAGAGCTTGCCCACACTCCGCTCTCAGCTCCATGGAAGGAGTGACGACATTATTTAGAGACAACGCGGCTGTAACTGTGTGTAGCGTTTTATTCAGGTTTATTAAGTTATGTCAATGTGGAGGATTCATACTTGGGTATCAAACGTTTCTTGGAATAGGAAGCAGCCCTGTTGGTTTTCCCTGTTTGAGCACAGCAACCTGTGAGCTGCAGGCAGTGTTGGGAGCTGTTGAGAGGCAACCACAGTGATGCTTGTGTTTAACATTTCCAAGGGTACCAGATAAGAGAGTAGAACCGTGTGCCAAATTAGCTTAACACAACTCTTTAGCGTTAGTCCTTTTCTTCCTCCTTTGTCTCGTTCGTCAACTCTGTTCTTCAAGGTCTATAAAAGTCGCTAAAAGCAATTCAACGAGTGTATGATTGGCTCTGCCTTGCCAAAAAGGGACTCAAGTGCGCATTATGGAAACATCTGCATGCCGATGTTGAAGAAGTCAATTGTGGGCACGCGTGGTGAAGATTACAATGATTACCAGTTTAAAGAAGTTTAGGAATTGAGTCTGGAGTGTTTCCCAGCTGCCTTTTACTTTTTGGCAGCCAAAAGGTATATGTTGTATGGCATGGAGACACACACACACACACACACACACACACACACACACACACACACACACATATACACATGCACAAACGCAGAATCAAAAGTCCACTTAATTAAGACAATCAGAATTCAATCTGGAGAAAAAGAGGCTTGACAAACCTCGATAAGGACATCAGTGGACTAATCAAAAAGCCGAGCTCCAACACCATCTGTTGCAGACACATTAACACAACAACACACACACACACACACACACACACACAGTAAGCACCACTTCCCTGTCCCTGTGGCACTCTGGACTCATCTGTCCCACATAACAAATATCTCCAAAGATTTATGAAGCATAAAATATTGCTGGTGCACTGATTATGTGCCTCCTCGTTCACTTGTGTATTTCTCATCCTGAACATCGACTAACTGGTTTTCCTTCTTTTCCTTCTTTCAATTCGTATTTTGTCAATGGTAATGTGCATTTTTGTTTTGTTCTGTTATTTGAAAAATAACAAAGATAATCTGATGTTGTCTTCAAGTGATTTCATATAAAATACTCAAAAACATGGAAATGTTTGTGTTTGTATTGTAACCACTGAAATTGCACATAAAGCACAATTACTGAAACCAATTCTCCGGGAGCTGAAGCTCAATGCAAGTCTAGACAAATGTTCTGCCTTTTTTCCCAATTTGCAATTCAACATCCGAGTACTTTTTTCTACATACGACACCAAATTTGGTGTCACCAAATCACTTCAACAATACTGCAATTAAATCTACCGGCAAGCATAAACATGCCGGATGGCAAAACAGTTTGCACCTAATTATTTGATGGGTGACGCAGCATACAAGACGCAACATCTTTATATTGTAAAAACAGCCGCTGGAAGTAATTTCCCATGATGCCGTCAGCTAAGGAGAGAGAGGCTTCTTTTTTTCTGCAACAGGACAATAAGCAATACATTAAAAAAATACTGGAAAATGTCTTTTGAGGTTTGAAGCAATCTCGCTTCATGATTAAAATCAGGGCTGCAGGATATTGCACACTGACTGCTGTGCACGTGCACAAATTCTCCACACACACACAGAAACATAGCAAACTAAAACAAATACGTCAACTGCACTAAAAGATCTCTGAAATCGACCAACATAAACTGATCCATTCGCTGCAGCTCCACAGAGGCTTCCGAGCCCAGCAGACGGTCATTAGATGGTGTTTACATTCAGATCCTGCTACAGACGGTCTTAGCTGTGGTGATTCCCTCAGACCTCAAACAATAGCTGCTAAAAGCAACATTTGAGACCGTGTCTGTTTACATGACTGAGGACAGCTGTAAGGAGAGGAGCTCGCTCTCATCCCCACAGACTGAGATGTGGAAGATGGGCCCTGATGGCTACACGACTATTGGATGGCGAAAAGATGCAGATGCGACATTGTACCTTGAAGCAGAAGCTGGCAGATTGGAAACACACTGACTTGGTTTCACAGTTGTCCTAGATTTATGAAGACCGTGAGGTTTCCTGCTCCTACAATTTGGCATCATCGCAGTGGCCTTGTGTTGTTATAATTGGGGTTGAACTGTTTGGCAAAAATGTCCTTTTGTTTCAAAACAACATTGCGATTGAGATGCAGGAGTAGCGCTTGTGGGGAGGTGGCTAAATTACTTAACAAACCAGAACCTCTCCAATTAAGCAGTCTGGATATAGGCTACGTGAAAGAACTCATAACACTAAATATAGTTTATTTATACAGCAAAAAAAAAAATATGCTGATTAAATTCATATTTACTAAGATATCACGTTGCTGGTAAACTGGACATACATTTTGGACAATGGTGTCATATAAGACTGTA